CTCATGTATTTCGAGCGAACAGGCCAGGTCTCACAGCCGTACAGCAAAACAGCACGCACGGAAGCATTGTACACCCTGCCCCTCAGCTTGAGACTGACGTTACGACGACGCCATTGGTGTCTCAGTTTGATGAAAACAAGGTGGGCTTTTGCAATGCGCTGTGAAACCACATCTTCAACACCGCCACCAGGCGATGCAACTCTCTAGGTACGTAAAGCAAGGGACTTGCTCCAGAACATGTCCAGCAATGGTGAGCGCGGACGCAGGCCCCTGCCAATCCTGAAGGAGCACTTTACATTTGGCTGGGGTAAAATACAAGCCATAATTGGATGCCTCAAACGATAAGCGGTTCGACGTGTTTTGAATGATTTGCAGATCATCACCCAGCAAGACGATGTCATCGACGTAGTCCAACTCTGCGATTCGGGCGCCAGGAAGAAGCTCAGCACTGCAGTTGTGGACACCATCAAGCGCTCGTTACACGACATTTTCGATGGCAAAATGGAAGAGGAAAGCTGAAGTAGGGCAAACTTGGCGAATGCCGCTGGTGACAGCGAACGAAGAGGAAGGTCTGCCGTAAGCCCTAATTTTGCCCGACGTGTGACTGTACAGTCCCCTCAGAATGGCAAGAAACTTGTTGGGTATACCTTTCCTTACTAAACGAGTTTACAAAGCAGCTCTGTCTACTGAATCGAATGCCGAGCGGATGTCCAAGAACGCTACGATCGTTGGTCGACAATAGACATGACGGAGCTCGAGGATTTGTCGGAACGTGAAAATTTGATCAATGCAACTTCGGTATCTCATGGCATTCATTTATATATATATATATATATATATATATATATATATATATATATATATATATATAAACAGAAGTACGGGGTTTTTGATCGCGAACACAGTTTCATATATGATTGATTGACGTTTAACCTCACACTCCCTCAGTTATTCCATTGACTAAGGGCCATACGTAAAAATATGACTCAGATGAGACGACATTCGCAGTGCGTATCCGCTGTCCTAATACGAGACATTTCCTGGGTTGCGTGCGAGATCACGCACTCTTCTAGAACAGAGAAACAGTGCGCAAGTGAGTTGAATCAGAAAGTACAGCCGATGGTGGATTTGGACGGAAAAGTTCGCCGATTCCACGTCTACCAAATCAACTCCCTTTTCGATACTGTTCGTCTTTAGGATATACCAAAAGGCAGCAGAAGTGAACATGGCCGCCGTAGTTACGACGCTAAATCCCTACTGAGCCCGAAGTAGTGGAAAGCAGACGAAGAGATACCGAATGGGCAAGTGTCCACAGTGTTACATTGAGTTGTACTCGGCTTCGTACCCGTGTGCGGTGCAGAGTATTTCCCCTAACTAACATCGAGAGGACTTGTGATTCAGCCATCTTTTCGTGTACATAAGCACAAAGCGTGAAGTGACATTAAAAAATGGCATTCATCCAGTAATTAGCCGAGAAACTTCCTAGTGGCGGCTTCCACTAAGATTGCTGTGTTGGGTAACAACTCGGGTATGGGAAATAGGGCGGTTGCTCATAAGCAAAACCAAAAATGCAAATGTGGGTGGTGGTTTTGCTTACGAGAAATGAAATGGAAATATTTGGCTTGCTGAAGCTCAGCATACCGCGTGACTCACTCAGATTTCTGAACAATGGGGTTTACAAGAAGTTTTACGGGATGTGTGAACCAGAGCATCGAGGCAATGATAGCATATGTATTGTCAACGTTTAAGGCAACCGAAAACGTAAGGAACCAAGGTAGATATCAAAAGTATGGCTTCGGGTACGACGATGACTCTGTCATCAGGTAAGGCTAGCGAGAATATTCAGTGCACGGCAGATGAAGTTTGACGCATAAAGGATGTGTGGCAACTGCATGAAGACAGCACGAAGGCGGGTACCCCAGGTGTGCATCAGTTACAGCAGGATGCTTCGACTCGTGCAGAGGGAAGTTAAACTGCAGCGCGATGCAGCTAGTTGATGCCCGTCAACGAACTACATAAAGTAACAAAATGAAGCATTCTATTGCGAGCTTTCATTGCACAATCATCGCTGAGATACCACAATCCTAACCATCGTACAATCACCTCGATTTAGCATGCCAATGTTCACGCATCCGTCCATTATGCTGGATGGTCTACTTCGCGGACACCTACCGTCCAACAATGTGCCGTTTGTGACTGATGGCTCAATTCCTTATCTCGTTGGGTGTTACCGTATTCCCTGTGCATCGTCCCACTTTTAATCGTTGTGCAGACTCGTCAACCTGCTCACAGCTACGTTTCCCCTCGGTCATGCAGCCTGCGCATGTGCCCCTGTTTGGAGTATGTCCGCCCAACCCGGGCGTAGCCCCGTTTGAGTAGTCAATCCTCGTACATTTTCTTCGAACGGAGTGATTATTGTGCAGACGTTTCGTTGTCTGACAAGGCAACATCATCAGTGCGGCTTCACGGGCCTGGTTCGCAGAGCCTCGTAAGCGACTTCAATGTCCAAGTGCTTTTCGATCGAGTTCTGCTTTGAATGCCAGGCTTCAATGAACTCACGTGCTTGTCGGTTTTTAGCCCTTTCCAAGTGCTGGCATGCTCTAAGTTAAATTGTTGGTTCTCGGCATCCATATGCACTGACATCAGGGAGTTCTGATCGTGGCGACGAATGGCTAGGCTATGTTCGTGTAGCTTTATGCCAAGCTTTCTTCCAGTCTGTCCCGCGTAGTATTTGTCGCAGTTCCGGAAGCAGATCTTATAAATCACACCAGTTTCTTCCTCTTTGCTAAGTTTATTTTTCTCTTTGGAGGGTTTACTGCAAATTGTTTCCATTGGCTGGTGTGCAACTTTGACTCAAAAAGGCAATAAAAGCCTTGCTACCATTTCAGAGATTCCGTTGATATAGGGCAGAGTTTCTCTCTTTTCAACTGTTGCATATGTCGAGGTGTGTTGAGCAGCCTTGTGTGATGCGGGGCAGCGTAGAATGAAACCTTTTGGGTACCAGTTCCGCTTCAGCAGATTGAAGAGATGGTCTTCTGCCCGTTTCAGCTGCGATGTGCTACAATGGGGTCGTGCTCGTTTGAAAAGGGTTCGCACGAACTAATCAACAGTGTGTTCAATGGCATTCAATTCACAACGGAGAAGGAGAACAACCAGCAGTTGCGATTTTTAGACGTTCTCATACGACGAACTGGTGCTGAACAATTGGAAACAACAGTCTACCGAAAATCTACACATACGGACCAGATCATCATCTACGGCAGCAATCATCCGGCAGGCTACAAACGCAGCTGCGTGCGAACCCTTTTTAAATGAACACGACCCCATTGTAGCACATCGCAGCTGAAACGGGCAGAAGAAGACCATCTCTTCAATCTGCTGAAGCGGAACTGGTACCCAAAAGGTTTCATTCTACGCTGCCCCGCATCACACAAGGCTGCTCAACACACCTCGACATATGCAACAGTTGAAAAGAGAGAAACTCTGCCCTATATCAACGGAATCTCTGAAATGGTAGCAAGGCTTTTATTGCCTTTTTGAGTCAAAGTTGCACACCAGCCAATGGAAACAATTTGCAGTAAACCCTCCAAAGAGAAAAATAAACTTAGCAAAGAGGAAGAAACTGGTGTGATTTATAAGATCTGCTTCCGGAACTGCGACAAATACTACGCGGGACAGACTGGAAGAAAGCTTGGCATAAAGCTACACGAACATAGCCTAGCCATTCGTCGCCACGATCAGAACTCCCTGATGTCAGTGCATATGGATGCCGAGAACCATCAATTCGACCTGGAGCACGCCAGCATCTTCGAAAGGGCTAAAAATCGGCAAGCACATGAGTTCATTGAAGCCTGGAATTCAAAGCAGAACTCGATCGAAAAGCACTTGGACATTGAAGTCGCTTACGTGGCCCTGCGAACCAGGCACGTGAAGCCGCACTGATGATGTTGCCTTGTCAGACAACGAAACGTCTGCACAATAATCACTCAGTTCGAAGAACAGCTCAAAATCCGCATGCACACCCCGAGCTACGGATATTCTTATTAATTTCAAGCCAGCCCTTTGGCCGACGAACTTCACTTGTTAGCTCATTTTTGCAGTTTCATTGACCTGTGTTCGGCTGACCATGCGCATGACTCCCGTCGCTTCGTCCCAGGAACTGTTTCTACGCCTTGGTAACAAGGATTCACCATTTATTTTAAACCCTGTTATTTCAATAACAATAACGAAACATCTGTCCTGTGCAATTAGTCAGCATATGTTCTTAAGGATAGACGTGATGGATGCCTGTGTGAGTAAACGTGTGAGGAAAGGGCTGACATACAAACGGTCAAGATCAATCCGTGACCACATTTTTCACGGGGACGCACTGCAGGAGGTAAACACCAAAGAGCGGGACAAAGTCCCATGCATACATACACAGAGGGAGAACATGCCGTGTCGTTAAATGTCTGCGGAGCCATAACATGCAGTCATTGTGCGTCAGGGGAAGTCCACATATTGCAAAACCCGCTACATACACATTAGTACCTAAGCCCAAGATTCGTTCGGTAACCATTGTACAGTAAACCTTTACATGGTCAAGTTACAGAGGTTAGATTTACAATGACAGCTATAACCCAAGTGGTCAACATACAACTTACAGAGATTGTCAATATACAGAGGTCTAAGCCCACAAGGCTTAGATGGCGAACGTTCAAGCTGAGAAAACAGTCAGCTAAGAGTAGTAGTCAGGATAAAGAGGTTGCCAACTTGGGAGGTTTTACTGTATTACAAACAAGAGGTCAGTGGAGGCAAAAAGAGTAAAGAAGTAGCAGACAGTGCTGCTGAGGCGGTCGGTCCGAACAAAGTTGGGTCCAAAAGTTAGGACAAACTCACTAGAAAATGAGGAATCAATTTCAGACTCGGCGTTAGAATGTCGCTAGGCAGCTTAGTCCCATGATTTGTCTGATGCCATAGGTGTAGCCTTAAAAAGCACGTAAACCAAACGCAAAACTTACGCAAGCCTTGATAGCTCTGTTGTTTTTCACGGAGAACTGAAATGAGCGGGAACGTGTCTCCACCTGAAACCGAGCTACCGAATCGTAGGCAGGATCACAAGTGTGCTTGATCCACTCCGTGGAGTGTTTCTGTGGATTCTCCGAGGACGGGAACGGCACCTGCAATTCAACCTGAGTGTCCACTCTGTCCGGGCCCGATACATCCGACGGGACAGGAAATGTGATCCCACGTAAAATGCTAACCTCGAGCACGTTGTCGCCAAGATCATGATTCATATTCAGTTTTGGGAGGTTAGCCCACTCGAAAGAGTATGAGATTGGTCGGTGCTTTTCAACGCAGGAAGTGAAAAAGGAGGCACTGGATTGTCCAAATCGAGCCAACTCCTTCAGTTTCATTGACAACTCTGTGAGACCAGCCCGGGACAATTCCTCGGCACATTCCCTGGCCTCAGTAATTTGACTTTTAAGTTCACCCAGAAGAATGCGATTACGATCCGATTCGCCTAAAGGGTAAGAAATAACATGGATAGCATTGCGAAGGGAAAAGATTGCACCGAAATGTTTCGGCAACCGTGAAATAAGTTGTAATGTGGGACACGACGGAGGCAGTCAACAAGCGATGTGGTAACAAACACCATCTCCGGAAAAAAGAACTCACTGGCAGCAGCTTCCAAATCCAGCTGCAGTTGCATGGGAGGATCACAGGCCACTCCAGTGATGACCGGTCCCTTGTAGCCTAGAGCTGACCCGGAATTCGATTTGCTAAGTCCTGCTGTCGGCGCTTTCGGCAACTTGGATAAATCGAAAGGGATACCTGCCTCAACTGATTCGATCAGTGGATTGATACTCAGTGCGGCGCGCAGGTGTGTTCTCGCCAAATCCATATCTCCACTCTCCTTCGCCGTTAGGGCGGCTGCTTTCAATTCCGCCTGACGAGCTTTCAGTAGTGTGAGCATTCGTTGTTTTCTGCCATCGGCTCCGGCTGTTGTTGGTGGATCGTGTGCTGCTGGTACCGAACTGGTGTTGCCCTGAACGACCGAGGAACCCCCTTCAGCTCGTCTGGCAAGCTTCGGACAATTGGGAGGGGGTGGAAGCTCACTATAATCAAAACTGGAAACACCATGCTGAAAAGCTTTCACTGCATTTTCGTATTGTGTCAGAACCCGAGCATATCTGCGCGCCTTGCTGGAATCAGCTGGATTTAATTTTGCCTGTTGCATCAGGACCTGGAAAGGAAATGGTAGCCAATTAATGGAAAAAAGTATATGTCCATAGCAGGAGTATGGTGATGTCGAACTGTGGTATAGCAAGTTCTAAATGGTTGCATGGGTGGTTGCGAGCATCCGTCTCCGGATTCGGCTAATGCACAGCTTTCGAAAGCCACAGGATGCATGCGGCATCCACTGCATCCCTCTAAATCCTATCCACCTAAGCCGAATCCGGGCTAGACCAGCACGAACGATTCGAAGCCACGTAGGTATTTCCGTGATATATGACCCAACGGTTCAGAAGATGTAGATGCAACTTGTACACTGCGATGGGATATGCGTATTTTGTGAGCATCTGATAAACGAGGGATTGGTGTCCGATGGCAACTCAGTCGAGTAGAATATGGACAGGCACTCACGTCAGAAATGAACGATATGTCACCTGGGTCGTTGTGACCAGTTTAGGCCTACTGAGGCCGAGGGTCGTCCCCCTCCAAAGGTGAGTAACAAGCTCCTGAAGACAATGACCGAGATAACAGCACATCACGCGTATAGGACGCATTACGAACATTTCATTGTGTGCAAACCTATGTGAGAGACCACGCGCTCCTTCACTCACGCTTGGCCGAACCGCTACAGCGCATCAGGCAGACATTGCAAAGTAGTGGAGCCACCCGCCGTGCATCTTGGGTTACCATACACAATCTCAACCGTTGACTTCGAAGTCAGGCCACTAACCACTGTGTGCCGAGTTCCAAGCCCAGCTCAGGCTATCTCTACCAGATGAATCTGCACAGGGACGAAACGCGTCGCGCGAAGTGCAGTGTTGGAGGAGAGCAGCACTGTAACCCCACATTTGTAAAAGTATGCTTCTGTGTCCATGCGTTGTTTTTTAGTATTAGAGCTAAGGAGTGGTGAATGTACCAAAGTGGAGATCTGTAAAATCAGATGACGAATGATGATACAAGGATTGTGGAAATGTAACTGTGCGCACATGTCCATAGGCTGAGGCAAAAATATGTATTGGTGTGCGTATGCACACACACAACAAAAATGCAAGTGAAACGAATGGACATATCGGAAGGGAGAAGAATATGCACAAATTGCCATCGGAACTACAACAATACAAATTTATGTGCAAAATTTTGAGAATAAATGCCACACAGGTTTCTTGTCATGCGAATTGACACTTCGGGTGCTGGCTCAAGACACTGCTTGTCACCGACCAGGGTAAACAGGCTCGATGGCGCATCAACTTACAACTGGACTTCCGGAAAGACAGACTAGCCAATCAGTAGGTGGGACATTTGAAATCGTGAGACAATGACCAGATAGAGAAATCAGACGCTGTCTGACTGCATAAGCACTTTGCAGCGGGTGATGCTGTGACCAGTAGTTCTATGCAATTCGATTTACCGTTGGAGCTGCGCACGTCTACTTACAAGAGCATGTGGAAAGGACCGTTCATCGAATTGGTGGACAGGGTAAGGGGATGAACGTGTTCGTTCGCAGGTGAGTGAAGCACCGGTATACCCAACTCATGCTCTCGCACAGCACTCCTGATCTTCATTCACTGTAACACCCACAGGTTTCGGTGAAGAGCTCGATTAGGACGATAATCAAGACATCAGAACACAGCTGGATAGCATGAATGGATACCAGCATCAGAAAAACTAAAAAGGGGCTAGACTCAGACGACATGCGACGTCTGATGCATGTCCCATTGACTCGTTAAACAGGTGCCTTCCAAGACACCAATTCCAATCATCGACTTCTACCAATCGGTCCACAGTTGTGCATCGCAACTGTCAAGGACAATGAGTCCTAGGTCATAAGATCGACTTTGCTACCGTGCAGTCTGGGAAGAAATATGAGATACTGTATTGACAGAGAGCTACAACTATTCGATCGGAAATGATTGTGGTGTAGAAGATGCGCAGGAACTAAACTGATCAGTTGTGAGCCAAAACCAAAAGTGATAAATTGCAACTGAAAGAACCGTGTACCATCTCGTGCAATGTGAATTAAATCTCTAGCGACAGTACCGTTCGTCCAAAAAGCCAGAAATAAGAGTCCGGACAGTTCTGAGTGATACCAGAGTTCAATATAGCCAATCAATAGATTTGTAGAACCGTTATGGGGTTTTTACAGAGGTCACCTCCCTGTAGAGATGTGTCAACACGGAGGCTATTAGCAGATGGGGTTTGTTGGGTATTTCATCGCAGTTAGACTCAGGCAGACAGCCACTACATATCCAGGAAAGCGCTAGACGGCCGTTTCGTCCTGTTGGAACTCGTCAGTGGTGCATGGCTCAGTGGCATAAGTCGCTGGTTCGCAAGAGTCAAGATTGTGGGTTCGAATCCGGCAGGATCGGGCGGGTGCACGTTACTGACAGGTCCAAACAGGACAAAACGACCGTCTAGCGCTTTCCTGGATATGTCGTGGCTTTCTGCCTACATCTACCTGCGGTGAACCTTCACAAAAAACGGAAGCCATTAATTGAGAGTTCGTCGCACCAGCTTTCAAATCATTGTCAACCACACGCCAGGAAAAGCACTATACTATAGTTTCAGCATGTTGGGCATCATTAGCAGTGCGCACCCATCGACTCCATCAAGATCCGGACCCGTGACCACTAGTGGCTTGCACTGCCAATCAGCAGCTTATGCGACTGAGCTATGGAGAACAGTGGCGGACCGCCGTGATTTACAAGTGCAGCTCAATCTCCACGACCATGCAAGTTACGAATTTTGCAGTGGGAAGGGTTTGTCCCGAAAGACAAGACTTTCATTGGCAGTAGCTACGTGCAATACAGCATTTAAAGGATGTTAGGTGAATATTTTGTGGTACTAATGAGTAGGGAGTTTATAATGAGATTACTTGGGAGCTCATCGCAACAGCTTTCAAATCAAATAATCTTCCACATGCCTGGAAAATCACTAAACGGTCGTTTTGATTCGTTGGGCATGTGCAGGACTATTTGAATCGGAAGCTGCTGCTACGAGCTCTTAAGTATTCACATCATAAATGCCCTACTCATGAGTACAGAGGCGATCAATCCACCACGGGTCGGAGTTGCTCAAAGTGAGACCTCAGTGCTGAATGACTAACTGGTTAAAAGGATCCCATGACGAGGATTGGTATTTTCTGTAAATGAGCCGGTTGTGAATCCTACTGAAAACCTTTGTGAGGCAAAGCAGTTATGCTGCAGTGCCTATAAATTCAACAGTCAAATTTAAGCTTTCTGTAAACTTATAAGACGACATCCGGCTAATGTCTCTGGGCTGCTGTGGGATATTCCTGGGTGACTGAAGTCAGTGGGATGAAAATGACCAAAGCATAGTATCCAAATCATGCATCAACTCATTATGAGCACGGGGATAAGAAAAGCTCCGATGTCGTGAGAAGTGATAATTATGGAGGGGAAAGACGAAGTTTTTAAAGACAAGCGGGCTTAAAGGTTGAAACGAGCAGTTTTAAGAGATTCAACTTGCTAACCCTGTCTTGCGGTATGAGCATTGTAATGGTAGCTGCTGATGTTCGCCCACAAATTCGGAACGAACAGGCAAGAGGCAGCTCGCGATCGACTGCTCGCCGCCGGTCGAGCAGCAACCCCTACAAGCATGAGCGAGAATGCTTTGTAAGCTAGCACGACTAATTGGCTCGATCGATGAATATGCTAATTTTTCGCCAGAGGCAGTCAAACAAGGAAGACTAAAGCGGAATTGCTTAACGGAGCGTAGGTTGACCAATAATATGTTGCCTTCTGATCAAACTAGATTCTGATCGCAGCCCAGTCCTTGTTTTTAATTCTCGGGTGGCGTTACACGGCACACATTGCTCAGAGAACTTCTGAAATGGGGAATGAAATGACGGCGGAGTGCAACGCGCCGCGTTGCGCCGCGCGCTTCCATCGTCCATACATCTTCGATGGATAATGCCTCCTCCGTAATGCTACGAGAGAGTCATGTTAGAATACATTCATGGTATCCTAGTACACATAATAATGACGACTAAATAAACCGAGATGGGTGGTTCGGAGAAATTGCGCAGCAAGAAGTGCAAGGAATTACTAATGAGTAGTAGGGATTTGAGTGCAATTTTAGATATAGTTCGCCGCAGCCCTCTCTCAGTCAGGCAGGCTCCCACACATCTGGAAAAACACCAGAAGGCCACTTCTGCCTTTTGGGTCTCTTCAGTGGCGCGCGTTTCTTGGACCCCTGCCGGGATCCGACCCCATAACTTCTGGATGGCAGCAGACTGTACCATCAAGCCATGCGTGATGGCAGCAGACCTGCATGACTGAAAGTTGACTACGATATAGTGTGTGCCGGATCGTCACTGGCTTCTTGATTGCGCGTAATCGGATGGATTCTGTTACGCCGAGAGGAAATCAGAAAACAGCTGCAAGCATCAGTTCATTCGAGATAAGTGATCGCAGATTTCTGGGGACTACAACCCGGGCTCCCCACAGTACACATCCGTTATGGATGCTAAGTTCTGTCAATCTGTTAAGAAAAGGCATGAGTTCTTTGGCTTTAGTTTCTGGCCACGTGACCTGAACGTAGCGTTTCGCGAGTGCTAAAATAGAGGAGGTATCGGTTCCTCGACATGTGTGTTGATGTAACTGAAAAATTGTCAAGGTGCTGGATCAGATTCCCGAGTTCCTGGGCGGCAAATTCTTCCGAAAGCACTTATGGTAAAGGAAGCAGAATGGTCGACAAGGGATATATTGAATTATATATATATATATATATATATATATATATATATATATATATAGAGAGAGAGAGAGAGAGAGAGAGAGAGAGAATCAAGGCCCAATGGACCATTCTGGGCGAGGCCAATTGCTGAATCCCGTTATCATGGACAAAAAGTGATACAAGAGGTTTATGATCTATGATCACAAAGGTCGACTGAGTAGGTATTGATGAAACCGAATGGTACCGAAAACAAGCGCAGCTGCCTCTCGATCAAGCTGAGAGTAGTTACGTTCAGCTGCCGCCAAAGTTAGTGAAGCATAGGCAACAGGTCGACGAGAGCCGCCTGGCAGTTTGTGCAATAATATAGCTCCAAGACCGTGGAGTGAAGAATCACAAGAACAATGGGCTTTTGTGGGTCGTAATGCAAAAGAACTCCGGCAGATGAAGAAAGCTTCTTAATAAAGTTAAAAACAGTTTCCTGAACTCTGCTCCAATTCCAATGTTGGTTTTTGCGTTATAGTTGATGAAGCGGGTGCAAATGGGTTGCCGCTGACGGTATGAATCGGGAGAACTGCGTGACCACTCCCAGAAACGATCGCAACTTAGTCACATTTTTGGGTGCCGATGCATTAAGTAGTGCTCTAGTCTTTTCTTCTGATGAGCTTAACGCATCTCTTGACAACCGATATCCAATGTTACGTACACTTGGAACAAAGGATTCACACTTTTCTTTTATTAAGACAAGCCAGAAATCTGACAATGTTTACAGAACTATATCCAAGGTGGGTAGAGTTTCCTCAGTGGTGCGTCCAGTGATCAAGATGTCATCCAAGTAAGCGCGTGTATTTGGTATGTCTTTCAGCAACGAGTCAATAATACATTGGAAGACAGCTGGTGCAGAGCCTACTCCAAACGAAATAACCTAAGGTGTGTATTGACGGTGGTGTAGGCATGTGAGCTCACATCGAGTTCGATCTGCTAGTAAGCGTGGCTCAGGTCTAGATTGGTAAAAAGTTCGCCACATGAGAGGGACGCATAGATGTCCTCAATCTTTTGCAGTGGGTATCGGTCCGGTTGTACTGCATGGTTGACCGTAAGCTTGTGGTCCCCACAAATCCGTACGGTGCCAAGGCTCGTCAATACAGGCACCGTAGGAGCTGCCCAATCGGAATACTGGAAGGGTTCTATTGTACCCTTTTACTGTAGTCGGCGAAGCTCACTCCCAAAGTTGTCCCGAAGAGCATAAGGTATAGTACGCGCCTTCCAGAATCTCGGTGCTGCCTGTTGCTTCGGTGTAAAATGTGCCGCGTAATTCTTCAACAATCCTGACTTAGTTTGGTCAAATAAGGTTGCATATTTTTGCAAAATCCCGGAGACTTGCGGACGAGCTTCCACAGTGTTGACGTTTAACATGATGCCAGGAAAACGTTTAATCCCATCGCGGCCAAGTATGTTACGGCCGGGGCCCCCAGAAACGTACACTCGGATGTGATCCGTCGAGTTGCCGTAGGATATGCGTGCAAGAAAAGTACCCAATACATTCACCAACTATTCAGCTTAAGAGCACGGTTGTATTGTAGTATGATATAATTTGGGCAGTTGCGATAAGGCATCAGGTCGTATCTACGCAACTGCGGAGCCGGTAACAATTTCAAAATCTACAGGTTGCTCGTTAATTTGGATAGACACAACAAATGGTTTCTCCGCGGTGATATTGTGAGTAAAAACGGTTGTGGTGTCTATCCGATTCTGGCTTAACTTCTCGGTGATCTGATTTGTAGTTCTAAGATTTCCCTGCGCAAAATGGAATTTCGTTTAGATGTGTCCTCCTTTACCACAAAATATGCATACCGAATGAAGATACTGATAATCAGCTGGTGTTGGATGCTGTGTTCACCACAGCGATAACAACGGAATTCTCTGCATTGCACGGACTGAGACAATGTGTTACTAAGTTTAGTCTGAGAGAACTTAGGTACCTATTGCGAAATTTGATCGTTGTCGAACTACGTCAAAAGCACTTCCCAAGTTAACGCCTTTTCATCTTCCGATAACAAGCGCTCTCGTGCCTTCTCGTTAAGAAGACCAACAATTAATGCATGTATAAGCATTGTTTTTATGAAGTGGACTGGCTTGATTTGCTTAGGAATCAGTAAATAAACGCAGTTACAGTTTCGTTCTGATGTTACTGCTGCATGGTGTTACATTTGTAACGTGCGGTAAACACATGTGGCTTTTCACCCAACAGGCGATCAAAACAGTGGGAAAGAAGTTGTAAATTTTCTTCCGTTTGTAGGCGCAGGTTATCGAAATGTGACTGCCCCTTGTTCCCTAAGAGGTGACGCATTAAGTTAATCTTTGATGTCTCAACCAACGTACCATTACCATCAAAGAGAACAAGTAGATTCAGCTAATTAGTGAAGGTGGTTCTCCACTGCAACCATTGTTGCGTAGTAGGCCTTTCCGTGGTATAATTTTAAAACTGCTGAGGTGAGATAATTGAATTTGCCATTGGTGATCGTAACAACTTCCGTCACCAATCTGTTACGCCGAGACAAAATCAGAATACAGTGCTGTGTATCGCAGCGAAGCATCAATTCAAATGGCTGATGTACTGCTGTTGTTGTTATGTTGCTGTTGCTGTGTAGTAAGACGGTTATTCACGTAGATGGCAAGTACAACTGTACACCAAAAAGGGAGCGCGCAAAGCATTTGAAGATTACGTAAGCCACATGGACGCTGCATCAAATCACCGATCAATGGCTATGGCAGACGGCCAATAGCCGGAGTACACACACACGTACGCTGGCACGGGGTGAGCGCTTTGCACAGCATATCAGATTCACTGATGTGAAAGAAGTCAAATCCTCCATCTAGGAAGGCAGTGTTTGGCAGTCTGACTGTCTGTTGCCAAATGGTCAGTGCGCGGCTTGCCTGAACTAGGTGCAGGGTCTGAGGGTGGTACCACGCGCCGAGGAAGACGGTCAGATGTTCGACCCCAGGTAAGCGGTTGTGGTGCAAAAGCTGACCGAGTATCGCATCAAAGAGTTTGTTATAAAACACAAACTGGTGAGCAGCAGCAACACATAATCGGTGGTCTATCTGGAATGAGCTGCACACTAATGAGAATCTGGTAGGACCCGTTTCCATGAATAAATGGAGATCTGAGACATCAACGCGAGCATTGCCTAAGCGTGCCGTAATCTCTGTAGTGATCTAGTCAACAAAAGCTGCCGGCATCATCTATTGCCAAACATCTAACCGAAACAGGACCTCAGGTTGAACCTGGGTCAAGGTTTACAGTTATCTGTCGAAACGAAAACCCCAAGGTTTGCCGAGGCTGTGGCGCTTAACCGGCATCGTCCTATTTTTGTGTAGATAAACAATTAACAGTCTCCCTAAAGCTTCCTTGGGGCTCATGACGTTAATGTGAAGCTCGTTAACCAGTTGTTCTTGCGTCTACGTAATTTCCCTTTGTGACCAGTTTCAAATGTTCGATATTTTTTCTATCACGTGATGCATGTTTGTGTTGTTAGCTTGCGGGTTGATCAGATAACACGAAATGGTTCCACCTCGCAATACAAATCTTCCCATTGTCTTATTTAGGTTGATACAGAGAATTCAGTGCCTTAAAAGCGATACAGTTATCTGGGGAAGTAGACCGATTGGCCACTTTGAGTCGTTGTGCAGCAAGTGGTAGAATCGGTTGGGTGAGGTCCCAGTCAGGTAAAAACCCTCTACAGTTAAGCGTAAAACATATGTCCAAGGGGTGCATGTTTATACAAAGGCTGGAGAACACCAAGACAGGTACATCATTCAGGTAAGCTAAGATGACATCTCGTATAGAAGTGTATGTAGCTAGAGAGGAATAAGGGGATATGATGGCACTCCTGATATGGTCTACTCGAGGTTGTAGTTTCCCTATCTATTCACCAGGAATCGATCAGGAAACAGCCATCAAGTTATTGGATCTTCGAGTGAGTAAGCATGTTGCTGCGCGAGTAGGAAACTTTCAATGGCGTTGCGCTGGTGATGTCCGCTTGACTGGTGATGAAAACACCTAGCTCCGTGGACAGCCTAGTAAGTGAATGCTACACTCCACTCATACAATTACATGAACTAGTAGGATGTACTACATTTTCTTGTCAAAAGTATAGATACGATGGATAAGCTGATCGGTTTTGATCTAGGATCCGGTGGATTTTCAAACAACGAACGAAAAACGTCACACATCCGCAGATATTGCCCAGATTAGCAAAAGGAAAACAATTACCGATCGCCGTACCGCGCCACAGAAATGGCACACATACTAACGTGCAGGAATACTGTAGAAAGCATCAACAACTCAGAGTGCTAGAAAAATGAGCCAATAATCCTACTGACCCTATAATATTCCGCTCGTAGATGGAGATTCTCGGCTGTGACCACAGGGCTCAGCATGGCTGGTGGCGGGGCCTGTGCGCCTGTGGTGTTCCCGGATTCAGCGTCTGACTTTTTCGGTGGCTGAGGTTCATCGTTTTCCTCCTCAGGGGATCCAAATTCGTCGGGTGGAGGAGGCATATCGGACTCGGGATCGAAAGGCTCCTCACCCGATTCCACTTTGGGTATCATTTCTTCGATGAATTTCGACGCCACCAAAAGCTCCTTGGCTCGAGCGAGTTGACCTCGATCACGAGCTTGGACGGCAGCCAGCTGTAAGCATAAACCAAAGAAAAGAGAGTGCGCTAATGCGTGTTGGACAGTTCGGAGAGAGATGAGTTAAGCGTCTAGCGGAAATGCACTCATGACAAGATCAATCGGATCAGTCTAGAGAAGGTTAGGAGGAGGTTTAGGAGGAGCTGCTACGTGACATTTGCTACGAAAGTCCGAAACTGGATGTCTCATTCACAAGTAGGGACATGAGATGGATTACTGTGCGAATTTCAACCGGGCGACACTGGTGGAGATAATCTCATGAAAACATGCGCAAAACTGAGTATTACTATGTCCCAAAAGTAATTGTAATAATTTTCCTAGGTGTTACCAGCCAAAGTAGCACCTCAGTGGTGGATATCGGCGCATCGGTAGTGATCTTAGCTGCAAGTCTAGACTTGTTTCAACTCGATCGGCTGAGTCATTCCTGCGCTGTAGTAGTTTGCGATGGATTGATGTCGAACAACAGTAGGCTATCAAATCTTGTGTGAAACTCAAGAAGTCTGACACCGAGACATTTGCAAATTTGACGGAAGCTTATAAAGATGCCACTCTATTGAGGCATAAAACTTTCACAGAGGGTCGAGAAAATATTGAAGAAGAACCCCGTTCCTCAGGAACAGAGAGTTATTCAGGACTTATATAGGGGTGTCTTGGAACGACTTCAAAAACGGGTCCAGCGAGTCCGAAGGGACATTGGCAATGATTGGGTGTTGCACCACGATAACGCGCCTGCTCACACAGCGGTTTCATTTCGATCATCATTATCATCATTATACACATCAGCTAGAGGTGGGAAAAACACCTCCGCTATTGTGCCGCAATACATGAAGGAAATACATACGTACATACATACAATACAATACACAAAGGAGAAGTAGATACAACAGTTGCATGCCAGCTGAGCTACCAGCAACGGATAGGCATCGTTCCGGTAAGCTTCCAGCTAGCTACTAGGCAAAAAGAAAAAAATATTATGTTTTACCCTAGGAAATGAGATCGTAGATGGATGGGGAGGCTAAAAGGGATGGGGAGGGACAAAGAAACTCACAGCATGAACGCCACTGAGGTCGGCTCCTTGCCATGTCAGCAAGTGTATCCAGCCAAACGTGTTCACCGTCTTTTGGACCCCAACCAGGGAGCCGTGAAGCTCCAACCGAGGCTAGCTCCGAGGTGAGGGACTTCATTCCCCTGGACCAAGTCATCGCTTGGCCACCTCTCCTCTTCTTCCACCCACATCCCCGGTGAGCAAACAACGCACGTCGAGGGAGTCGGTGGGCTGGCATGCGTAACACGTGGCCGAGCCATCGGAGCCTGGTGAGGGAAATAACGGTGCTGAGCGGTTCAGATCCTTTTCCTGGGCCGTAAACAATGCGTCGAACACGCTCGTTACTCACGCGGTGTTCCCACCATATGTGAGCCAAACTGCGAAGGCACCGATGGTCGAACGTAACTAGCCTCTTCATGTCCGCCGATCTTATGGGCCAGGTTTCGCAACCGTACAGTAAGGTCGAACGTACCGCTGCATTGTACACTCTACCCTTCAGGGCGAGAGTGATGTCGCGCCGCCGCCAAAGGTGGCGAAGGTTAGCAAAAGCACTTCGAGCTTTCGCTATACGGTTCGTGATCTCGTCTTCGATCCCAAGGGCGCTGATACAACTTCCCAGGTAATTGAATTTCTGAACGACTTCTAGCTGATCCCCACCAAGGGTCAGCGCAGGAGGCGATCCCTGCCAATCTTGGAGGAGCGCTTTGCACTTCGATGGTGCAAAGCAAAGCCCGAAGCGACTGACAGCCAGTGCTAATCTGTCTAGCGCGGCTTGGCACGTCTGGGAGCTGTCACAGATGAGGGCAATGTCGTCAGCATACTCCAAGACAAGAAGTCGTTCTCCTGGGAGTAGCTCCACACCTTCCAAGTCATGTCCTGTAAATGCAAACTCCATGACTTCGTCAATAGCGAAGTTGAAGAGGAAAGGTGACAGCGGACATCCTTGTCTCACACCGCTGGAGATATTAAAGGGTGGCGACAGCTTGCCGTAAGCCCTCACTCTGCCCGTGCTACGCGCATATAATGCTTGGATAATATTTACATATTTCTCGGGCACACCTTTCCTGAGTAGACAATTCCAAAGGGCACATCGATCAACCGAATCGAAGGCACCTTTGATGTCGAGGAACACGACTACGGTGGGCCGCCAATATGTGTGGCGGTGCTCCAACAACTGACGCAAGGTGAAGATGTGGTCAATGCAGCCACGACCACGACGAAACCCGGCTTGCTCTTCACGAATCTGGCTTTCACGAGCGCCAGTCAGTCTGTGAAGAATTATGGAGGCGAGTAATTTGGAGGCGATGGAGATCAGACTGATTCCTCTATGGTTGCCGCATTCCGAGCGCGAGCCGCCTTTGAAGATGGGAACAATAACGGAGCGGCTCCAGTCGGTTGGGACAGTCTCCTGCTCCCACAGTTTCACTAGTAATTCATGCAAAGCATCCACAAGAGCAGGGCCTCCGAATTTGAAGAGGGCTGGAGGAAGATCATCTGGTCCCGCGGCTTTGTTCAACTTCAACAGTCCGATCTCACGTTCGACTTCTGAGCGAGAGGGTGGATCCAAAGGGACAGCCCACGGAGCGGGGCGATCAGTGACCGGCGAAGCAGACAATTCTAGCCGATTAAATTGCTTTTCAAAATGCTCAGCCCAACGCTCCAAACGTTTTGACAAATTGTGGATAGGCTGTCCACTCTCATCACAAATTGTTTCACTAACACCAGGTCTCCTGCTGCCCGTTTCCCGTATCAGACGGAATAACTTACGATGGTTGCCAAGGGCAGCGGCCACTTCCATCTCTGACGCACGATGAGACCACCAAGATTCGCGGTCTCTCTTCAGGCTAGCACGGAGTTTTGCCCGGAGCTCTTTGCGAGTTTCATTGTGTTCGCTTCCAGCCGGGATATGCCGGCGAGCGTCGATAAGTTCCAGAGACCGAGAAGAGACCCAATGTCCATGTGGGCTTTTAGACATACCACATGAGGATTTGCCCGCTGTTAGTAAGGTCTGGCGAACATGTGACCAGTGACCATCAATTGTCTCCAGTGAGCGAGTACTCAACTCGCATGTCAGCGTACTTTGATACGCATTCAGAACAGCTGGCTTTGTCAGTTGGCTGGTGTCAATGCGCTCACAGCGTCGTCGTGGGCGTCCTCCAAAGCGCATCCGCATGTCAGCACATACAAGTGCATGATCAGTGTCCACACATGTGCTCCAAATCGAGCGACAATTCTGGATGCAGCCTCTCCAGCGGTAACTAATAGCAATGTGATCGATCTGCGTGCAAGGCTGGTTCGAGGCTGGTGGGCGCCAAGTCACCCTCCGGCGGGTGCTGTGTCGGAAATTAGTGCTCGCAAGAAATAAACGAGCATCTTCACACAAATGAAGTAACCGCTCACCGTTATCATTACGGGAGCCTACACCGTGCTGACCGCCCAGATGCATTTCATCAGTGGACAACTTTCCAACTTGTGCGTTCATATCCCCCGCCAGCACAACAGTGTCCGTGCTTCTTCTGTGGCGAAGGAGCTGAGTCAGTTGGCGGTAGAAGTCGTTCTTTACCGAATCATCGCTACAGTTTGTGGGCGCGTAGGCAGCGATGATGAATAGACATCTATTAGTCCCGCGCGACTTCGAAGCTTTAGAGGAGCCAGCCAATCGGACCGCACACATCCGGCTACTGATTGGAATCCAATCAACCAGAGCAGCTTCAGCCCGGGGACTCAGAGCAATGCCAACACCAGCTTGGCCGGTGCTCGAAGCTGCATCGTCACCGGATAGGCGCAATGAGAAAATACTGTTTGCGTCACCTGAAGGGGATCGCAGAGTGAGCACAGAGCTCGAGTCTTGCAGGCGGGTCTCTGATAAGCAGCAGATATCGATCGAGAGGGTCTCCAATGTTCGGGCAAGTGCTGCCTGTTGACCGATCTGTAGTAGTGTGCGTACATTAAGGCATGCCAATCTGAAGGAAAATCGAGGGCTCCAAATGGAAGCCGATGAACTGGAATGGACCGCTTGGTTGGACATGGGCTTGTCGACAGGAGAGGAGTGACGCTTCGCGTTCACATGTGAGTTGAAACTAGAAGATAAATGCCTAGCAAAGCATGTTGGGGGAGGGCCAAGAATCGGGGGGTTGAAAACTGGGGGGATATAAGTGAAGTTGGAAGGGGACGGTAAGAGTGAAAAAGCGTAAGATGGGGAATAAGAAGACGGGAAGGCTTGAGCAGTAGCATCCAAACCCCTATCCACCCTGCTCGATGCAGCAGATAGGGCACCGTTGATTATCCTCTGCGGTGGCCAGAGCATCAGCAATTTGTTTGAAGTGTGATTCATTGTATTGCGTGGGCAGGATACTGTCAGGTTGCCCAGGCCTAGACAGGAGAACGATTAGGGTTCTCAACCAAAGCCTTTGGTTCAAAAACCTGACCGCAAGGCAGCGGGTTTGGCGTTGGACTACAAGGAGTCCGTTTTAAGGAATAAGGTGCCACCCTCATTCCAACCCCCAACCTGGAGGACCAGGAGGCTGAGTTTGTCTGACCTCTAACCATTGACCAATCTGGTATGAGTGACTCTGAAGGTGCAAAAGCACCACCCAGCATAGCTCAATGGATCGCTGAGGCACACAAACCATCGCACCACGGTAAGGTCCAGCCTCATTGCGATAACTTTTGGCGAAGAAAAATACACCCACAGTACCACAAGCTTCCTATAGTCCTGACCGAGCATCATGCGATATCTACCTCTTCCCTAAGTTGAAAGGTCATCAGCGTGGGACCGTGGAAAAGATACAAAATTGTAACGAAGGAACTTAGCACTCTTACGGAGAATCACTTCAGGATTACTACGATCAGTGGAAAAAAACGTTGGAACCACTGTGCATTTTCCTAAGCATCATACTCCGAAGTTTGTAATTTCGGGTAAGTCTTGAGTAAATTCAAATAAAATTCAGTA